ATATGGACTACAATAAAGAGTTGACTAAATCGATGAAAAATTGGCCACTAAAATCTCGAATTGGCGGAAAACCCTAATATGCTAAAAAAAGCATGAATTATTACAACCTAACTAACAATAATATTATATACCAACAATATTTTATAATTATTTTATTATATAAATAATAACAAATCCAAAATATTTTATAATATCATTTAATTTAAAATATATTATTGACAACCGTAAGAAAGATAGTACACTACATGATTTATTATACAAAAATTAATAAACAAAATAAAAGATTTGGTTATCAATGTAGAAATTATTAGAATGCGTACCAATTTTCTTTAATTTTTTGGGTTTCTAGAATAAATTAGTGGAAGAGATTGTTAATAGAAAGAGAGAGATTTAAAATGGCTTCATTGTATGAATCCTATCTTTAAATTAATATTACTAAATTTATGTTAAAGACCATCATGTTATAAAAATAAAAAATATAATTAGACCATTTATTCCTAGGTTGTAATAAGGAATACCTTGTATTTTTTATACAAGAAATACTTATTGTGTTATCTTTTATTTTTCTTTACAAGAAAAATATGATACTTGTTGATTATCTTTTTTTGTTTTTCTGACAAAAGAAGATGTTGTATTATATTTGTTTTTGCTTGTTGTATTACTTTTTATTTTTTTTTACAAGAAAAATAAAAAAATAATGCTGCCAAAGTACATTTTATTTTTTTATGCCGTTTGTTTTATTTTTTTGTAAAAAATACTTGTTTTATTACTTTGTATTTTTTTACAAAAAAAATAAAAAATTGTTGTATTATCTTTTTTATCTTTATCTTGAAAGGCCTTTTATTTTTTATTTTTTCTATTTTTTTACAACAGTAGTTTCTGCCTTTGTTTATTTTTTTGACAACAAAAATATAAACGGGGACGCGCTCTAAAGGGTTCGAACTCTAGACATCCACTAAAAAATGGAGATGTCAACCAACACCTCCACGTCGCCTAATGCGATTTTATTGGCTTTTATAATTATATGTATTCAATCGTCATGCTTTAATGATTTTTTGTGGGAATTATCGCACATCGAAAGATGAGCGTCACTTTGTTCTCTATAAATTCCTGTGTAATAGATGTTGCATTGCGCGTGTAGAAAAGCGAGGGGGCAGACATGTTAGGTGAGTTATCACGTGTGGAGAATTTTTAGGTACCACGTGTTGCTCCCCTAAGGCGACCACGTGTAAACCCAAAAAATTACTAAAATGCCCAGGTTTTTTCGGTGAGACTCGCGATTAATTATCGAGAATATCCCGGTTCTCTCTGGACACAGGCGATTCCCGGTTTTTTTGTGGAACCGGCTCGGTTGCAAGTGATTCTTTAGTTGAACCGGACGAGTCAAGCTCGACTCGGCGAGTTTTCAAACCCTGGTCAAAACTGATAAATTCAAGGATTTTCTAATTACAAAATTCCAGCTTAAATCAAACACATGAGCGGGTACTCTAGTACTCCTATTTCAGTCATCCAGATTTCAAAATTGGATAAGTTTTTTGCTTCCTAGTTTTAGTCTCCAAAGACCAACTAATTTTGTTTTGGGTTTTCCTTAATTTGATTATGATTATTATTATTAGTTGAAATTATTGCAGGTGGTCCCAATGGGTACTTGTTGTCCCTTGGCCTCTATCTCTTTCTATAAATTGAAGGCAAGGCCCTGGCCCAAGACAGAGAGCAATACATCTCATTGCTTTTGAGAGAGAGAGAGAGAGTATGGAGTCTACAAGGGTAGAGAAACCGCATGCTAGAGGCCATATTAACCCCATGATGCACCTTGCTAAGATTCTCCATGCTAGAGGCTTTTACATTACTTTTGTCAACACTGAATTTAACCATGAGCGTATTACTAGATCAGGAGGAGCCATGGAATTGAACAATTTGGAGGATTTTAAGTTGGAATCAATCCCTGATGGCTTGCCGCCAGACCATGGCCGGACCCAAGATGCCGCAGGCCTCATTGATGCAACGATGAAGAATTTCTTCAGTCCTTTTAGGGATTTGGTTTCAAAACTCAATGACTCCATACAAGTCCCTCCGCTTACATGCATAATTTCGGATCTCAACTTTACGCAGGTTGTTGCAGAAGAGCTCCGGATCGCAAGGATTTGTTTGTGGGTGACAAGTAGTGCTGCTTTTTGGGGTTTCTTGCACTACTCCGAACTTATCAAAAGAGGAATTGTGCCATTCAAACGTCTCTCTCCCTCACTCGCACACACATTCTCTCACTATAACACTAATTACTCGATCTTAGTTACAAGAAATGCCCTTCAGAACCCTTATCCAAAACAAAACTGTAAGTAGGCAATATCTATTATGTGTGTGTGCGAGCTTGAGAGAGAGATTCTCAAATCTTGGTGCCCTCGTTCTCTTGTTTTCTTGTCATTCTTTTGCAGTTCACTTCAAAAGAAAAGATAAAACTATATGTTCCCCCTATAGGTCCTCACAGTGACAGAGAATGTGCTGGGTTGATAGTAGCATCTCCCCTTATGAATGCAGTCTCGGACTCCATTTTTCATTCTCACCAAAATGGTACAAGACCAAATCCTTACTACCAGACCAAAAAGATAAAAAAAGCCAAAAAAAAAATTTCCTCACAAGAGCCATGGGCCACTTCTGTAGGGGAAGTATTCAACAGGGCACAAAAGTGGTTGGGCTTTGTTTTTTGTTTTTTTGGGGTAATTATGTGGGGAAGGAAGGCATGGCCCCTTCCCATTTCTCCAAGTAAATTAGAAATTAGTTTTTTAAAGGTATTAGCGGGGTGATGTTAGTGGTGAGAATAGAAACACCCTTTCCATTTCTTTAAATAGATTAAAAATTATTTTTTTGAAAATATTAGTGAAGTGATGTTAGTGGTGGAAATGAAAATCACAACGTGGTTACTAAGGTGAATGATTTACCATGTGAAAAAATGCAACGTCATACTCATAGTTTGAATTCTGCCAAATAATTATGACGAAGTCTAAAAAGCAGTAGTAGATTTATATTACAACTAGAACTTCTTTGAACGTCCCAATGGCCACCTCCCATTTTTATCTTTCCTAGCTTTGAGGGTATTCATGAAAATAGTCGCTCAACATTCGATTTCAACACTTGAAATAATAACTATTTTTACTGTCTACTTTTATGGTTTAGGGGACCTGGTGTTGCGCCTCCGTATAATGGTGCACCAAGCAACTTGCCACCTATTTAGGTGCAACTATTGAAGAATTAGGGTTGTATACAATGAGACCATTTACTTTTTGTAGAGGGATGTCATAGTTATTTACAACCATTCGATATAAAATCTGATAGCTTGGGTGTATCACAATATTAAAAATAAAATCTCTTGAACTTTAAATTTGATCAATGAAATAAATACAATCACCCAATTTCACATCTAATGGTCAATATTAATTGTGACCACCTTGTACCAAAGGTAAATGGTCTCTTCATTTACTTTCCCTAAAGAATTTTCTTGGTGGTAATGGGCTGGGACCTCGGTATAATGGGTTAGGTCAACCCAACTTGAGTCCTTGTTTTTGGACCCGGATATGATCCAATGGGTCCAAAATTTGGTCTTAGAACTGACCCGATTCGGGTCTGGGTCAGTTCGGTTTCTGATCTAGAACCTAAATGAAAATAGTTTGAAAAAATAAATGGCTAAAAGTGATTGTGACCTCCTTGTACTGTGATTAAATAGTATGTGATCCCTCTATAAGATTGTATACTATGAGACTGCTTATTTTTATGAAAGTGCGTTATAATATTTAAGAAATTTTGATTTTGGACTTTGTCCCCAATCAATGAACATCCTGAACCACTGGATTTCAAATCTAACAGTCAACGATGATTTTGACCTCCATGTATCAAAAATAAATGCTCTCATTATATGCATTTCCTACATATATAGGCAAAGTATTACACATAAAAAAAAAAAGGGTTTATAAAAGGTTATAACCTTATTTTTAGAAGTAAAGTTGCAGTAATCTATATTATCGATTTTATTTGGACGATACAGATTGGACATTATTATAAAAAACATGTCATGTATTGATATTTTATTAAAAAACGTGTCAAATCTACATCTCCAAGTATATTAAATAGTATACAGTATTACAACCTTATTTCTACAAATAAAGTTACAACCGAACAAAAGCCGCACCATTCCAAAAAGGGTGTGGTTTGTATAAGGTTGCTACCTAAAACAATCAAATTAAGGCGCACCTCCAAATTTTATCATAAACATAATTTTGGGTGTAAAATTCTTAGCATAGCTTGAAAATCTATTTTTATCTCTAAATATAAATTCATAAAACACCAAAATGGTTCAAATCAAATAGATCTATAAACACTTGAAAATCTAAAAAATTGACGGTCTAGATAATTTGTTGTAAGATACACATTTATTGAGATTCAATTTTTTTTTTCTTTTCGTATTCATGTATCACAATGTCGAGATGATCAATTAGAGGTTTTCCAAATACAAAACAACCTTCTATGATGGACTTTTGAGGTGCACTTTAATTCTATATTTTAAAGTCGCAATCTTATATAAATGTTTCCCTTTATATATATATGTGTGTACATGTAAACATATCTTCAGTCGGGTCCAGGTCGATACAGACCCAACCCAAATTTGACTTAGGTCTAGAATTTTGAACATGAACCCGACCCAGGTCCAAAACGTAAACTCAGACTCCGACCTAGACTTGGATCTGGTCGGCTCGAACTGTTAGTCACTCGTACTAAGAGCAAAAAACATGGACTTCGAAATATTTTCAAATTTGGGTATGTAACGTCCTACATCACCCTCAGAGAACAAGGAGAAGTTGGTGCACTTTGTACATGCCTAAAAAGTTAAAATCCCAAGAATGACTACTAACCATCCAGTTTTTCGAGATTGTTAGACAGAAAACTTTTATAAATTCATTTTTTTTTTTTTTTTTTCAATATTCAACTAGTGATTTTAAAGTAAATCCAAATTTTTTTTATAAGAAAATACACTAAAAGAGTTATTTTGCCTGAGGGATCAATTCCTTAACATGCTCATATGGGAGGAAACTCGATGACCATCATTTTTTATTTTTTCTTTTTGATGACAAGGAGGCGACATTTCTTTTGGAAAAATATACAATGACATCATTTATTTTTGGCACAAAGTGTTCACACTTTTTCGTGACCATTGGATATAAAATTAGAAGGTTGCATTTATTCCATTGACCAAGCTCAAACTTCAAAAGAAATTTTTTCAAACTTTGTTACACATCGAAGCTGTGAGATTTTGTACTATATGATTGTAAGGTAATTGTGACCTCCTCGTATCAAAAGTAAATTGTCTCATTGTATACAATCCCATTTTTTTTTAGTAATAAAATGGTCACGTTTATCTTACTTGCTAACTTTAAGCTTTGTAATGACTCTGTCAATCCCAGTATAGGGTCCCTTTAGGCGAATTAAGCAGTTCTCTTAAATTTTATTTTTGAGGTAGAGGTTAGCTATCGCACTCATCTAGACGAGGCCAATCCGTGATCAAGAAGGCCAATGGCCTACTGTGGCTTTCATGTATGAAGAGGGTGATTCAGCTTAGCATCTCACCCCGATGTCAGATCATCATCATCATTATCAAAGCACCCAATTATTTAGAGTCAAGTAGAAAAAGAAAAAAAAAACAATCTCATTTTAACTCTCCAGGTTTTATTCCTGCCCTTATAACCCGTATATATATATATATATATACTGTTAGAGCTGGCAAAGGGCCAGGCTAGTCTTGGCCTAGCTCAGCTCTTGTCCCTATGGGGCTGGTTTGAGTCCGGCCTGGTCTTACCCCACCCTAACTCGGCCGAAGAGTAATTGATAAGTAGAATGAGCATGGTGATGAACTTATTTATTATTTTGATATGTCAACCATTCGAATGGAAGGCGGGATATTATGTTGAGGCATCCACCGGCCTAACAGCCCATGCACCACTTCCACCTCCATTTTAATTTTTTTAAATAAACATAGTTCTTGGACCATTATGCTAATAAAAGTTAAATAAATAAATAAATAAATAAACTTGGTTCGCATTTCTTCGTAAGCAATTATGCATTTTTAATATTTCTAATAGTTCGAAAAACTCATCGCAGCTTTTTGGAGCTTACAACTCTTAGGTGTATGTGTATGGACTCATCCTTGGTAGGGTCCGAGATCGCGACTAAGAGTTTCAAATAGAAAACACAAGCCTAGGACTAAAATACAAACTATGTGAAGCACATTTCAGTTTCAAAATTTGACGATATTTGGGAAATTCTTAAGGTTCTAACCAATGGTTTAAAAAACGGATCGGTAACCCCGATCGGGCTTCCAAAAAAACGATCCGGATCGGCGAATCGGCGATCCGGATCGGGAATCGGGTGAATCGGTCATAATAAAGCTTAAAAAAAATCCGAAAAAATTATTAAAATTCATTATAAATATTGTTTTTTAGGAATTCAACAAGAAATGAGGGTACTCCATTAAGAATTTCATGTTTTTGAATGAATATGTGAATATTGATAT